TATTTTATTTTATTTTGACAAATTTTGTCTTATGTTATTATATTATAATATTATTACATATGCACGGCAAGCCGTTGACTCTCCCGCTTATTCCATGCTCATTTGCCAAGTTATAGACAAGTTATAGACAAGTTAAAACTAGTTAAAACTGCGAGTGCGTGTTGGTTAGTGTGCATCAATTAAAGCAGCACATTAATACAGAACGGTGATTAAACTGACTTGGAACTACCTGTGCATTAAACAGTTTTACTGCACACCTGCCAGCCAATCAGAATCCAGTATTCAGACAGACCGTGGAATAATTAATTTTATTTTTGTATAGTGTAATTCAATAGTTTTTTTTTTCATTGCAGTGACCCGCCCACCGACTGCAGATATTGTTTTCTGTCAGGATTTAAAAGAATAGTTTTTGTTTTTATTTTGTTTTGTTATTATTTTTATTTTATTTTAATATAGTTTGTATTGTTTGCTATTTTAATTTCTATTGTTTTGTTTTAAATTTTTTGTTTTGTCTAATTTAAACTTATTTTATTGCAGTGGCCTGTTCGAAGGAACAGTTCATTATTTTTTATAAAAAAAATTTATTATAATATAGTAGTATTATTGCATTATTTTAATGTAACATTTTTTTAAATTTTATTTTTAATTTTTAATTTTATTTAAATGTATTTATTTTTTTGTGTAATTTATGTGTGTATAGGTATCTGTATTGCGGACTGCTGTTAGTTAGTTTATGCGCTGTAAGATCTGGAGAGGATTTTCTCCAGAGAAAAGTCTGTTCTTGCCGTCATCCGCTCGCTGTAGCCCGCAGATTAATTCAAGTATGCAAATGTAATTGAATTAGATCCAGTTAATCTTGTCCTAATGCCGGCTGAAAGATGTGAGGAGCAATCAAATCGCTCTCAGGCCTTTCATTTGCATCAGAGTTTTAAAATAAAATTAGTTCATTTGTAATTCTGTGACCCGGCCGGTAATTAGTTTATTCATCGCTGCAGTTAACTCCCCATTAGAGAGGTTATTTCTCTCTCTCTCTCTGTGCATTGGTAATCAGGACACTCGCAGCATCATTTAATAATGTTGAGAGTCATGTGAAGAATACTGCCGTCTCTCAATCAGACTGAACGAGAAACCTCGTTTTCTTCATCTTTAGTAGCATTGTGTTTGATTTCAGAACAATGACAGAACGTATTTGTAAACTTGTTTTTGCAAGCTTTGTTCTCGCCTGCTCAGGGGTCAAAATATACACCGTTGAGTGCATTTACACTGTTAGTGGGTTAAAGTGAGCTCTGATCTCATTTTGCTCCATTTGAGTTGTGAACAGGTTTTATTTTATTTTATTTTATTTTAATTTTATAAAATTTAATTTTTTATTTTATTTTATTTTTTAGTTATTTATTTTTTTATTGTTTAATTGTATTTTTGTACTTTATATATTTATGTTGTTTATATATTTATTGATATTTATTTACATTTTTATATTTTATTTTGTCGTTTAAATATATTTGTTTTTTATATTTGTGCACCTTTTTATTTTAATTAACGAATTTTATTTTATTTTATTTTTTTAATTCTTTTTATATTTCAGTGTGGTCAAAACCTGAAAAGATGAGGCCAGCAGTAGCACAGAATCTCACTGGAAGTTTTCTGGAGGTCTACTGACTGATGAATGAATGAATGTTTGTCTGCAGGTGGATGAAGGGATGTGATTGGGTTTGAATGTGTGTCTGTGCTGATGGTTTTTCTCGTCCTGCAGAGTAAATGGTCCAGAAAAGGCTTCATCCGAACCCGATGGGCGCTGGCTGACTGGTGAGTTCATCTCTGTCCTAAACCTCCTAAACTACCCAAACCAGATCAGTCCTGCTTCACAGAGAGACTTTATATCTGTGGCTGAAGGCTTCAGTTCTCACGGTTACTAACTAATCACATCACAAACTGTTTTCATAATCATATCATGTACAACAGCATGAGGCTGAGTAGAAGAGCACAGAACTAACACCATTACAAACAGACGTAGCGTGCTCACATCCAAGAAAACAACCTTTCAGACAGGTGCACAGCCAAAAAAATCACAAACTAATGCAAAAGAAGAGATTTAATGAAGTAAACAGGAGCTTCTTCATCAGGGAGTCACGGAGACCTGCAGGAATGTTTGTCTGCAGGTGGATGAAGGGATGTGATTGGGTTTGAATGTGTGTCTGTGCTGATGGTTTTTCTCGTCCTGCAGAGTAAATGGTCCAGAAAAGGCTTCATCCGAACCCGATGGGCGCTGGCTGACTGGTGAGTTCACCTCTGTCCTAAACCAGATCAACCCGGCCTTACAGATTTCAACTGCTTCATCAGCCAGTTGTGTTTACTGCAGCTCTAGATAAATAATATAAGTTATTTAAAATTAAATGAGCAAAATAAAATACTATAAAATATGACATATTTTTTAAAATAAAATTAAAATCAATAATTTAAAATAAAACACTAAAATATGTATATGAACTTAAAATAAATAGTAAATAAAATGAAAACAAATAATAAAACACTTATTAAAAATATTATTTAAAATAGAATAATGTAGAATGAAAGTAATCAAAAATAAAACACTAAAATGATTTAATAAATTAAATTAAAATAATATAAAATTAAATTATTAAAATATTTTTTAAATAAAATTAAATAATTTAAAATAAAAGCAATCAAAATAAAACATTAAATAATATTTTAAAATAAACAATCAAAATAAAACCAAAAGTACTTTTAATAAAGTAAAATAAAATAAGTAATTTAAAATAAAATTTACATTACATTTAGTGATTTTGCAGACGCTTTTATCCAAAGTGACTTACAATTGGGGGAAAAAATAAAACACTTTAAAACTAAACTAAACTACTAAATGACAAAACTAAATTAAATTGAGTGTTTGGTTCACTTGCATGTCATGTGCCCATTAATGGACATCAAAGAACATGTGGTAAATCATTGAAATGTCAAAAATGTTTGGGAATCACTGAAATAAGCTATAATTCTTCAAACTATTCATGCTTTCAGTCCACGCTTTGTCATCCTCCACTGCTTGAGATGCAGGTAAACCCATGAAACCTTGCTTCTGTTCTCTGCTGAACGGTCCGGCGGCCGGTTCGAGGCTCGGTCAGAGGAGAAGTGAAGCTGTAATAAGTCACTTGGGATGAAAGTCTCTGCTAAAGGACTAACCGCGCTTCTGAGCGAGTTTCTCCCGCCTGAGCCGCAGGATTAGATTACAGCTAATCGCGTTAGCCGAGCGCTTACATATGACAGATGACATGATCAGACCGAGAGAGAGAGCGGCTAATGCAATAGAAGAACGGCACGAGAGCAAGAGCGTCTGACACCGGATGAAGCTGATGAAAAGGTGACGGAGGAATAACAGGCCAAACCTGATTACTGAGACGCTTCCTCAGCACTGAGCGGCTCACTTCTGTGCTTTATTGATGTATAGAACAGAGAAACTCATAGACGTGTTCATATTAAGCAGTGAGCACATTCAGCCTGAGAACATTATAATGCATTATGAAGCTGTTCATTTGCATCTATTTTTGAGTGAATACTTGTAAGCACCGATGAAACGCAGCAGGGTTTCCCAGACGAGGACCTGCAGGGAGTTTGTGAGGTGATGAAAAGTTCAATAAACATTTTTTTTTAAATAAAAGCAATCAAAATAAAATACTTCCTAAAAATTATATTTTTAACTAAATTAAAATAAAACATGTAATTTATGTAAATATAACTAATTTGTATAATTATATAAATTATAAATAAAGGAAATAAAAATTAAACTAAAATATTAATTAAAAATGTTTTTTAATTAATTAAAATAAAAAATATAAAAATTTAAAATAAGTCAAAACAAAACACTAAAAAGTATAAAATATTTTAAAAATAAATTAATAAAATAAATATACATTTATATGATATCAATTATAAAAAAAAAATATATATATATATATATATATATATATAAACTTTTAAGTTAATTCAAATAAAAGCAATTCAAATAAAATACTGAAAATTATTGGAAAAACTTAAAGTATTTTTAACTAATTTAAATAAAATAAATAATTTAAAATAAAAGCAAACAAAATCACACAATTTTTATGAATTAAAATTAAAAAATTTAAAATTAAATAAAAACAAAATACTAAAAATATGATTTAAAAAAAAAAAAATAATTTAAAATAAAATCATTCAACATAAAACGTACTAACGTGTTTTTTATTGAAATAAAATAAAATAAATAATTTAAAATAAAAGTGGTTTGGCTGATGAAAATATTTGGGAATCACTGAAATAAGCTTGAATTATTTTTCAGTCCATTGTTTTTCATCCTGTGCACACTTACAGAGTAAACTGCAGGTTAACCCATGAAATGTGATTTATTGTGCACATGCTAATAAATCAGCTGCATGTAGTGCGGCATGAATGCATTCATAATATGTTACACTTGTGGCTTGGTAGAAAGTGTTATTTAAGCTTTTCAAGAGTGTTTCCTTCACCTGACACACTTCACAGGTGCTTTCTTTTGTATCTGTTTTACATTCATGCATTTGGCAGATGCTTTTATCCAACATGTGATCAGTTCATGCATTGACTGGGAATCGAACCCGTGAGCGTGCCGTTGCTCTGTTGCATTGAGAAACGCAGCTGATAATATAAATATGTGTTTTCTCTCTCTCAGTGCCTTTGACCTGGTGAACATCCACCTGTTTCACGACGCGTCTAACCTGGTGGCGTGGGAGAAGAGTCCGTCGGTTTACTCGGGAACCAGGCAGAAAGCGCTGGGCTTCGTGCTGGACAGGTGAGACAATCTGCTAAATGCATGTTAACTCTGAAGAAATGCATGCAGACCATATCAAGCGCTGGTGAATTACGGCTCAGAGATCATATTCTTTCACAATGAGAGACCAGAGCGGTTTACTACGCCATCGTTTACCCTGATTTACAGTTTAAAAAGACCTTTCTTGTTGCTTACGATTTTCAGCTCTGTTATTTATATTCATCTCAACACTTCATCCCAGCACTTGTTTTCCTCTGATTAAACAATGTTCTCCAAGGGTTGTGTGTGATCTGAAATGATATTGTAAAAATGAAATAATTTTTAGAAAAAATCAATCAAAGTCAAACTTGTACTAAAACAGATATTTTTTTAGTAAACTAAAAATAGATAAATAAAAATATTTTGTTAGTTCACCTCTATGTAGTGGCCATTAGAATTGCAAAAAGGTGGAAAATTTCCAGTAAATTTCGGAAACATTCCAGAAATTTTTGGAAACTTTCCAGGATTTTTTTGTTGTTGAATATTCCAGGAATTTTTG